TAGGTGCTTGTGCCCTTTCTGCTCTCCTTGCTTTTTTTGCTAGTGTTGACATTGTTAAGTTCATAGACCCATTACTATTAAATTAACACCCAGATAGGTGAAGTTTGTTGTTTTCTCAATTACTCCATTTCCATACCTTATATTTAGCTTCTCTGTATTGTAACCATTTCTATTAAATATAATTGATTTTGTTTTCTTTATGTTTACTTGTAGTCCCCATTTGTTTGCATACCTATGTAGACAATTCATGGAATTTTGCAGTCCATCTTTACTTTGTGACATAAGGATGATATCATCTGCATATAACAGACATGGAATTGGTGTGTTATATAATTGTGGTGGGAGACTGTCTTCTTGATCCAACTCGTCAATTAAGTCATTAATGTAGATATTAAATAGTGTAGGACTCAGTGGACAGCCTTGTTTTACACCGTTTTCCAGTTTGAAATTCAGGGTTACTTTAACTTCAAGCTTGACTGCACATTTCTTGTTCAGATACATATGTTTTATGACATTGTAGATATTGCCATTGATATTGTTTGTATTTTATACATTAGACCAGTGTTCCACACAGTATCGAAGCATTTCCTGAGGTCAATAAAACTGAAGTAAAGTTTCCTTTTCTGTGATTGATATTTTTTTATTATCGTGTGCAGGGTTAATATGTGGTCAGTTGTACGATGTTTTTTTCTGAAACCACCTTGGTTTGGGTGAATGATGTTGTTCTCATCTAGAAACTGGATTAGTCTATTATTATTGATGGAATTATATGATGATTTTTCAAAGGCAGATGTTTTGGGCGAGGGCGGTTTTATAGATCTGGCCATGGAAGTTTTAAACTTTTAAGCATAAGGACGGCGTATTTATATTTACATGTAATTGTCAATGTGTTTATATTTTGTTTATGATAAATTTGGCTCTATCCTCTTATATAACAGTTTTGTTAAGAACATTCAAAATCTTTTTAAAAACACTCAATCATGGTCGAAACATCATCCATTGGTGCTGTTTCCCTCTCCCCTTCCAAGGGGCTTAAACTCTTCCACATTCAAACCCCCTTTACGATGTTCACATCTATTTTTCTCTTAAAATATATACTAGTAGGTTATGTCAGCATAAAGGAATGCAAAATAATAATGAGACTAACCTCACACAGACAATTGTTTACTCTGTTCTTACCTGTAAAGTATTTCTGCTCTTAAATAATTTCCAATACCATTGAAAAACTTCTGATCTAAAAGAACTTCACAGATTGGTCGTTCAAAAACTTTATTACTGATATTCATCACAATGTTGGATCTAGAAAAAAATTATTTAGATTGTTTACTTTATGGTCTGAATCCTGATTTCAAATCTTAGATACAATGTCAGAAAATTTCGTTAAAGCCTAGACTCTCTAAAATCACAAGCCAACATTTTGTTTTATTATATGTTATTGCTAACAATAGATTTGAGACAACTTTATTTTCTTCAAAAATTATCCCTGAAAGCATATAACTTAGAAAAAAGGGGCAAGAAACTGTAGATATCCTTCTTATGTAACATTAGTAATAATCCCCTACCCAATTACCACCTTAGAAGGACTGACAACAAAGCTATGTCAACAATGCTGCATCCTCTCCTGTATTTTGTACTACCATGGAAGGTACTAACTTCCATGGTAATACAAAGTGTTTTTCAGTCTTCCTTTTAAAGACACCCTACCTGAAAACCTGATATTCGAACATTGGATCAGGACTCCTATCCTTTGACCAATCGGAATTCACTTCCCATCTACCAAAGCGTCTGGTGTCAACAAAACTCAACACCATTGGTGGAGTTTCTTTAGTGAAAAACTTCAAATGGGCATGTTTGTGTAGTTCATTAATTGAAGAGAAATGAAAGCTTCCTGACATTCCAAATCGAAACAAAATCTTCGTCATATTTCCGGACGATGTTTTATATTTCTTCTCCTTGTTTACCAACAGGCTGGAGTTCGGATGCAAAGCAAGTTGCATTTCTTTGCCACGCGCCGATGCACTCACTGTGTACGACTCGCAATCAAAGGAAACGTCGTCACATTTTGACACAACTGATTTCACTACTTTACCAGAGAATATCCGGTTACTGCAAACATGGTTCACAAATCTACAAGCCAAATGTATTTCTGGACCCTCTGGCATATTACTGTTTTGTTACCTCTTATTCCTTCTTAAACTTTTGTAACCATTGCCAATCCCTCCGGGGAATGTGTAAGTGTTAATAAAAATTACTGCAAAGTGCTCTCGTGCCCGCGGCGGCCCTCGTGTTCTGTCACAGTCTCTAAACAACCGGTTGGGAAACAATGTCCAAGGTGTTAATCACCCGACCACTAGTACAGTGCGTATTATTCTTTACAACAATGATGAGGGACTGAAGTTCTGGCATAGACCATAGACATTAGAAAAAAATCTATGGTTCTGGTAACAAGTAAATACACTGCTCAGCTGTTTGGTTCGTTTGTTTTTGAATAGCGCCACCACAGTTGAAACAAACTGAAACTTTTTTTTTTATGTATACAGCAAATTACAAATGTGATCTTGAGGCACAAAAGTTATGACCTTGTATTGGCAGACAGTAGTTCCCTGCACTAATATGGGAGGGCTTAATTATCAGCCTATTTCAGAGATAAATGTCTTAAATTAAAACCCAGTGAATATTCACAAACGAATGAATATGCCAAAACACCAATTGAACAGGTACATTTGAAATTCTGCAAAAAAATACTAGGTAAATACTTGGTAAATTCCCATTACTTATAAATATTCAGGAAAATCTTATTAAATACTGGTATCGTATTAGTGCCTTACCAGACAGTAATATTACAAAACAAGCCTTTGAAGAACAAAAACAAAAACAAAATTTAAATTGGTTTACATCAGTAAAAAACATGGTCTCCGAAAATATTACAAACTTATCCTCGTCTGTTATACCTCAAAAATTACCACACAGTAAAATAAAAAAACATACGAAAAAACATCCAACAAAGGTATGTAGAGTTCTGGAAGTTGGGTGTAACAAATGATAATAGAAAACTGAGAACGTATATAAAGTTTAAAGACTCGTACACTTTTGAACCATATTTGCTCTTATGTAATCTGAAACATAAAATCTTATTGACTCGTTTCAGAATAAGCAGTCATGTATTAGAAATTGAGAAGGGTAGACATACCCAACCCAAAATACCTTTAGAAGACAGAATCTGTAAGCAATGTTCCCAGATCAAAATGAAAATGAAGAACATTTCTTCATGGAATGTCTTAGGTATCAAACAGAAAGACAAAAGCTATTTAATAATATCAGTATTCCAGAAGAATTGAAAAGTGATAACCAGATATTTAAATATATTATGAGTTCAAGAGAAGATGTACTAATAAGACAAGTTGGTGAATACTTATACCAAATATTTGGAATCAGAAATAACAATAACTGACATTTTACTTTTACTTTAGTTTTATATGTATTGTACTTTATTGCTAACATTTTATTGCTGTTCAACCAAGGATGCAATAAATTCATTATTATTATTATTATTATATGCCTGCAACATCAAAATTAAACATATTAAATGTTGATCTACAGTAGTTTATGCAATTGCAGCTCCTATTTATTATGCAAATAGTGAACCCCTAATTTAAAAGGGTTGCAACAAATAAACCTATGGAAGATGTTACCTTTGAATGGTGACATTCCTTGCTAATGGCCAGATTAACTGGACATGTGTATCAGTGGCGGATCCAGGGGGCATGCCCCCCCCCCAAACGCATGATGATTCATATCATCTGGATTACGCATAGCTTCTCTGCGATTTATGCTCCGTATATTTTAAGCATACATTTTGCTGGATCCGCCACTGATGTGTAATAATAATAATTATCTTTATTGCGTTCGTATCCCTATTAGGATTTTGACTAAAATGCAATACAGATGTGAATAAAGACAAACAAACAATTAAAGTGAGAATAAAAATACACACAGGATAATAAAAAAAAAGTAAATTGGATTGTTTTCCACATTTGTGTTGGTGAATGTTTAGATTACTATTGCATGTACATGACCTTATCTTGAGATAGCTGACTATAATGTTTTCAGTTTTTCCTCTCTTGTTTTGAAACCGTTCTCTATGTATTTTGCTATTTGTATTATTGATTTCTCATTTGTATTATTTAAAATATATTTTAATTCTTCTTTATTGTTTGCTAAATGTGGGGGTGATAACAGAGATCACATGTTAAAAGAAAATGTTTTTCGTCCTCTATGGCGTTATTTTCACAACAGACATTTTCTGTCAGATATATCTGTGTTGTTATATCTCCCAGTCTCTATTTGTAGTCTGTGAGCACTAAACCGTCGTTGATGACCTGTGATGAGTATTTTTGACTATGTGTAAGTAGTATTCAAAGCCAAAGTCTGTTTTCAGTTCTCTGTAAGTGCGCAATTTATTTTTGTTATTTTTCCTTTGTTATCATTGTCTAAAATCTGTTTACAATTTTTTTCAAATTTTGTTTTTAGTTTTTCTGATATTATTTTATCTATATTTACATTGTTCGCATTTTGCTTGTGTATATGTTGATGAATGCTACTGATTAGATGATACCTATGAGCACAAATATACGTCACATGATCTAATTTAATGGACATGTGTATTTGGATTGGGGGAGGCCATTGATTGGATGGTACCTGCAAGTGGCAGGGGAAAGCAACTCGTATGAAGGCTGCTGATTGGTAGATTGAAACATCACATGAGCATATATAAAGTGTAATGTGACATTACACAAGACTTTCCACGTGACATAAGCTGTGTTGAAACATCAAATTGATGGACGGTGGTTGAACCAGGATTACTAGAAGAACATTCACAGATGTTTTTTGGGGTACAAAATGCCATGGTCAATTTCAATTCACAGACGGCAAATCTGTCAACAAAACAAACTATCGGTATTTTTTTCTCAAAAACAACGAAACCTTGAGTATCACACAACATTCGCACAGAAGTTGATGATGCTGCTACGTTGATCTTTCAGCTTAATGAGCCCTATTTCTAGAATAGTGTTTTTTGGAAAATGAATGAGGATAGCAATACAAGCGATGACGTCATAGTGATTGGACATGCATCAAAGTGAAGTCAATGGATAATGAGCATATCTAACAATAGAGTTTCCAAGCTTCAAGGAAAGGTGCATGTTTTGTGCTTGGCAAACTACTCCTGTGTGTCACCATGTGTCTGTGAAGGTATTGAGAGACAATTTCGTATGAGATTACAGCTGCCAGTCTACACCTATGTTAATCACAACAGTGAATTGCCGAGACTGAAGAACACCCGTTAATGCGACATTGGACACATACACCACCATGACAAGATATCCGAGTTTTGGCTGGGGGTTTATTGTAACGAATTATTTTGATATAATTTTTTATAATCTAACATGCCATTATTTTGATCAACTGGTATATTTATCACATTACATTGTAAGCCAGCATAGTTATCATTTTATTTAATGTTTGGTTGATTTTATGTATGCATACATTGCACATTTTTGTGTATAATAAATGTTAATATAATTTATTTAAACATTTCCATTGCATCTTTGTAAGAATTTGTGAGGGTGAAAATATATTTTGACCTTTTTATATTTTTTATATTTTTGAAAACATTACGCCAGTGTGAATATGGGTTAATGAGAGTTTGATGTCACTTGAAAGAGGTCAGCACCCACATAACCAATTTTTTACTTACTCTGGCAAATATGTTAGTGAATAAAATACAGGTACACAACAATGTTCATGTTTAGTGATAAACACGGCAAACATAAAATACATCCATTATTCATGAATAACAACAGATTATTCTGAGACTGTCATTGAAAAAGTAAATTTTTTACTGTGACTACAAGTAGTGAAATATTATACATTAATTGAATCAAAAAGTCACAATGCTAAATGAAAGCCCAACTGGTGCACCAGCCAAAGCACAGCAAGCACAGAAACCTGTCACCAGGCACAAAAACATCAGAATCAGGTATATGTAGCAAATACAGAAGGTAGTAACCAGAGCCAGGTAACACTCATTGGCACCAGATATAAGAGCCAGAGATCAGCATTTGGAACCAGTCATCAAAGCCAGGTTACCAGCTTCTTGAGCCTGCCTCAGAGGGCTCTAGCCAGAGAGCTTTCAGTTGGACTTATTGCAATACAAGGTTATATTAATCAACAAAACATAATTAAGATTATAAAAGTTCAATAATTACAATCTTGCACAATGTGTTGATAATATATCATATAGTCATTTCACTGTGTAAGTTAGTGTCTGCCAGCAATGTACCATCAGGATAAATTGTGTCAGAGGAAATAACTACCAGTAAGAGAAAAAACAGTTTCCATCTTTTTAAAAACCAAATTCATTTTAGTGATATTGTCTAGTGAGCTAAAATACAGGTATACAAATGGGAACATTGCAGCACATCTTGACTACGATTTCACACTGTATACACAGGGTCATTGTTTCATTTTCTTCAACAACTTGATATTGCTACCAATTTTCACACAGACATTAATAATTCAACCGCTGACAAACTTGGAGCCGGCATATAAACATAATGACTAGATCATAGGTCAGCACCACCTCTCTGTAAAATAAAGTAAATTAAAATATAATAAATTCAAAGATAAATATATCTGCAGAGCTACTTCCACAGTCAGGTTACAGTTTTAATAAAAACATCTCCACACACATACTCTTTCAATATGTATGTTCATTATACTGACCTGTATAATTTCAATTTCATCTGCTGTAAGAGGTTTGGATTTATACTTAGATGACACATGCTTTGCTTCAACACCAGAACCTTTAACACTTGTGCCTTTTACAACAAAAGATGACTGCTGTGGTGCTTTGTGCACAGGAGTAGCCACAGCAGGAGGCACTGTGAAATGCTCTATAGAGAGAATAGCATGGTACATTACACATCAACAACAATACTCTTCAAATGCTATATGTTACGATCACCTTTCTGATATGGACAATTTGAATCCTATTTGTGTCATATTTAAACATACGACTGAACACAGTAAACATGCTACCCAGTAACACCTGGTGGCATTCAAGGTGGTTATAACTCACTCAATTACAAGCATGGCAATACATTACTAACCAGCCCCTTTTAACATAGTGTCTGCTAACTCCTTTTTTCCCATTAATTTTGGTATGTCTGTGGAGCTTTCTGCAGGCATTGTGTTACCGTAAAATGAAATATATCCAAATGATATCAGATTGAAAAACAGAATGACATACATATACAGACCATGTCTTGTCTATTTCTACTCTGTACAGAATTGCTCAAAGCGCTAGAGGAACTAAAATTTGAAAGTATTTGTATACATAGCTGTAAACAATACGATAAAATGTTTATTGCCCTTGTTCATGGCGCACCAATAATAGCACCATTTAGAAAATAATTGAAGCAACAATTTGTTTGTATTACACCTCACCTTTTTTGGGTCCTTTGCCACCGCGAAACTTGATAAGAGGGACATGGGGTCTGAGGACCTGTAATGACATAGTGTTATAATAATGAGTAAATCAAGATGATTACCTTTTAAAACTAACAAATGGAGATACATGTACGTCTCTTAGGATTAGTTTGCCCCACACAAGTGTTGTTATACCTGCGACAGTAAACAGCTTTGAATATGTGAACACAAAACTTGACAACAAAACTGTTTTGCAGAATAACCCTTTGTTTAGATGTACCACAGATCTGCAATCATGAGAAGGGGTGTCAAATTTACAGACTGTGAGGTCTTACTATTTTTATCTCTATGTGTACTCTTTTGAGTAATTAATGACCATTTGGGTTTTACATCACTATAAAACTGTCGATTTTCTTCACATGTGTTTGTACACTCTATATCAACCAAATTACACCTCTAGTGAAGTGTAACTTTTACACAACCAGCGATGCCAGACCCCTCGGCCTGAATGTTAGGAATTGTGTTGATATGTCCAAATTCAATTTGCATATTTAGTACTAGTACTCTCGAATACTTACGTTAATTAGGTTTTGTTTATACCCAAACCTCCCGTATTCATCACAATAACCAACCAAAATCACGGAAAGCATAAAATATATTAAATTTTACGTGCAACTATGGAGAAGATGAAAATTACCTGTGTCAGAGCTATCGTTCGTGCAGCCGCCATGATGGACGTACTTTTATACGCCCTCAACGATAGAATTTGTTGACCAATAGATCAATAGAGGGCATAGTACAATCTCCTTCCCGTGGATCTTTGAGCTTTATTTGTACATTCCCGAACAAGTAATACAATATGATTGTAATGACTTACTATCTACTGTAAACAACAAATACAAAGCTAAATATATATATTACAGATGTTTTATCATAATCGTTTTCTCGTGTCAAGTGTGTGTAGTAGTGATTCTGTTGTCTGTTCATATGCACTGGCCACAATCTTTATTCGAACAAGAAATATTTGTTTTTTCGTTTCTAAACTATATTCTACATTTTTCAAAAAAAAACACAGAATAATCTTGTCACGAGAAATAGAAAACGATAAACTTGTTGCCACCTAGAGTAAATGAGCCTTAACATAACACACAAAACAGTTCAATTCGGATGGGAGATGAGAAGATAGAAAACATTTGACCTGAAAGATAGAAAGTGTTCTGTGTAAAATCTTCGGGACATGGAGTAAAATGCCCATTTCGTCGAAAGTTGAATATATCGTTATTCAAATATCCAAATAACAACTAATGCGGTAGGAATTGAAAGAAATGTTTTGCGTAATTGCCAGTTTAAAAGCAAACAATGTCAGCGTTTAGCTGTCCGTGATCACATCTGATTCACATATTATTCGCCGGCAGTTTGTTTGGTTTTAAGGTTGCGGTGATTTCGAATGTTGATCAACCTTTGCCATAAAGTCATACGAATTGATATAATTTGCTATGCATGTATTGTATTAAAAAAAATGAAGAAATACGCCGTAATCATTACTAATTGGTGTTATGTTGATGATAGAGTGGTAAAATTGCGCGTACTGATCCGCCCTTCACTTGAAACAATTGTGAGCAATGATTTCGTTGATTTCTACTACACTTCATTGGGAGGTAGTTGAACACTTAAATAACAATAATATTGACTTTCAACGAAACGGTCTTTCGATGAAATGGTTTTCGACGAAATGTTGTAAACCCATTCACCAAAAAATAAAATTAGAGCCATTTGATAAGAAAAACAAATACGCTATTAAATCTGCTTTCACATGTTACTTTTACTAGGTAATATGCTTAAACTTAGATAAATAAGTATGGTCAGATAAAGGTTTACATACGAAGACAATAATCGTGTTTTTCTTTACGATCATATGGCACCACCTGTCAGATTTAACGGAGTAATGTTTTCTGTGCACAATGTAATTAATTACTTCCTTCCCATGAATTTTACAATAAACTGTCAAGCTGGGTCTACTTCATTGTAATCGTGGTCAGTACAATGTAAAATAAAAAAAAAAAAATAAAAACTACTACGATTCTGCGTTCCATTGATTGAAACATGTTTATATATATATATATCACGGATAATGCACCGGAAATGGTATAGGCGCGGGTGATGAACCGGAAATGACATCGGCGCGAGCCGTTCACTGGAAATGCCATGATGTTATGTATTGCATCGATGCACCAAACATTGATAAATTGGTATACATAAATCGTTGAATTATTTGACGGTGCATATTTTTGCAGAAATTTAGAAATATTTTGCGATAGCTTCCAGGTTAATGCATATGAAATCCTGGACGATGAAATGATATGTAGAATATTGATCTTTCGTTGATAATGTAGTTTTATTGTCAGATGTCCTTGACGGTGTTGAGTAAGTGACTTTACCCATTAGGGAAATGGATTAGCCTAGCGCCATTTCGTTGTCATGGCAATAGATCGATACACAGGTGGCACGAACTGCCATAAAATAAGTGTGTATGTTTCAGCGTTTGACATGATATTTCGCTGGCGTAAACAAAACAGATAGTGGCGTGAAAGACTGGTTCTTCCTCGTCATAACAGTGCGTCTACGTCGTCGTCACCATAGGGATAGTCTTGTTTCCCCGGATTCGTGTCTGCTACAAGATTGGATCATTAGTCGAAAATCGGAGACTTGCTAGTCGGTAATTTGAAAATTGTCCTTTTTTTCTTATATTTCAACAAAGCATACCGCATGCGCATCCACTTTTTGCATTAAGGCCAATCAGTTTTATTTGCTGGGAGGAATATATATGAATCGATAAGAACATTTGTATTTGGTCTTTCACTATAGCTCGAGCATACCTAACCTGTGGCGTAATTGAACCTGCACGTGGTGTATCAATATGTACAGGGATTGCTAGCAACAACCACCATATAGCATCGTGTCTTCATAGACATTCAGGTGAGTACGTCCACTCATAACACACATACTCACAGTGTTAACACGCGACATTGCCAGGGACGATAATACCCAATATGCAAACATGTGCCTACAATAGGAACGACATCGTCACCATCACTACCGAGGTAGTGCGTGTACAATTCACTCATTTACATAGAAATGAGTATTATAAAATATACTGACAATTTTAATAAATCGACGCGAGGAGGACATAAAACGTTAGTTTCGAAGTCGGTTATTACCACACATATCGAGCTTGTTGGTGGCAGTAAATTCGTGATTCCAGTCAAGCATACATCTGTGTATTCGTGTTTTTTAATTGACACGTTTCGTATTTGCTGCTACTATACTCATTCCATCTGTGTGTGTTTTATGTGAGGAAATTATTGATCTGAACAAAGGTACTCGTGAATACAATCAATTAAAGCTCTGTTTTAAGTACGGAAGTACATACTAATACAATAGTTGTTGTAAAATTTACGTTATGTATTCGCTGGTTAAAGCGACCCTAAATGATGTTATCGCAGCGAATAGAACATATGTGAATTAACGCAGGTTATATCTAACGAATATGTTGATTAAATTGGAATCCATGATCAGGTGCAAAAATAAGAATATAATAAAGTAAACATAACATAAACTAACGGCACTCGCATTCAAATTTGTGAAAGGAATTGGCAATTTCAAGAACGTAAAACTATTTACTGACAATTATTTCATAGTACAAAATTGGTTGAAACAATTATAAAATAATTACTGACAAAGTTTTATTTATTTCGCCACGCATTGTGTTCCGTTGCTGCCAGTATGTTTTACTGGTTTTAGATGTAAATGGTGGTTTATATATCGATAGGAAGTCGAGGGATTACTTCGTTCTGAGAAACTCGTACATAGCACTCGTAGTTATGTAAAATTAAATCACACATCAAATAATACTTGTGTATCATTCGACATAAATATGGATAATGAACAGGGCTCCACAGGCGGCAGTGAATTAGGTTATAATAGGGCAGTATCGCAGTATCAGCTGAATTACATCATTCTTGTAAGGTCCCCATAGTAATGAACTATGTTGAAGGATTAATTGAGGTAAGTTCAGCAAAAAGAAACCCTTTCAAATGTCTGCTTGGCATTTACCAACCGTCGTACTTGCATCCGATAAGTCAACTAACGACAAGAATGGGGCACGTGTCCGTATCTCTTTTTTCTCATTTGTTATTTTTTTCTTGATTCAGAAATATTGTGATATATTTCTGAGCAGGAGTTATGCCTTGAAATGCTGGGAAACAAATCATAAATTGCTGGTATGTTTGTTTGTAATTAATTTAACTATAATTGTTAAGCTGTTTGCTTAGATGCAGGTATTACGATGAACATTCATGTTCTCAGTTTATCCATGTTGATAAATTACAAAGATTTCAGTGTCACAATACTTGTTCAAGTGAACATGAAGAAAATTCAAGTCTAGTCAAAACACAAGCGTTCGCTCGTGTATTTGCTCTAACATATGAATAGTCATTTTGTGAAACTATTTTTTCATGAAGTCCAAGCTTAGATTCATTGTAGTTAAATAATAGCACGTGGATGGTTGAAATACAAAATACATGTATAGTGATTCAGATTTTACTTCTACAACTATATTAGGTTAATTGCGGAGAGATTTGCTTTAATTTTAAATGACGTTCTACATTGCCCAGACCAACGTTTGTCGATCCTCTGCAAACATTTTTCTAGACAAGGCTGATGATTTTTCATGATTAAACATACCGTGACGTAGACATGACGTATTGAGAATCAGATAGTGTTTGTTTTTTGTCTGCGTCTGATACATCCATTTAACAATCGTAATTAAACCAATGTAAGATGCGCGACTATTTGGTCCTAATATGCGTGAGAGGATTCCGAATGTCAAAAAGATGAAACAAGTCTCCGATTATATCAGGTTCTCGTTGTGCGCGGTTAGTAGTTTTATTGAGACATATAAATTGAACCTTCAAATTGTGTTCCCGTTCGACATGATTCCAATGTCTAATGGTGTGTGCAATAAATGATTTAGAGCTGTGTCGTGGATGTATTTGTCTTCCTATCCCGACACGCCGTGTCAATAATAAGGGTTATCCACTTCAAATAAGGGAGAAGGCTTCGGAGTGTTGAGTGAATTGTTCCAAACTTCCCAAACATACAAATCAGTTTATATAGATATTATGGACGTCAGTTTTTAAACTTTGGTTTCTCTAAAAATGTTTACACGCCTATGGCTCCAAACATTCCCGCATTGATTAAACAAGTTATGTTACCAATCAAAGGCTATTGTCTATCAAATTAAAAAAGAATAAAATACGTACAATAAAACATGACAGAAGTTGGTCAGTATTTGTCATAAAACAAAGCTTGCAATAAAAACTTAGCACATACAAACTGCTCAAATCAAAATTTGAGTTGTAAATTTATTTAATCAACATTTTAGTAAGCGTAAACGACAGTGAGATCAGGTTAGATTGAAGAAAACACAAAAATACCCAGGCGGTGAATACTATATAAAATGATTGTAAAACATATGAAAACATCGCATTTGAGAAACACTTCATTATAGATTGTGTTGTCCTTGGAATTTAAAGAATCAAATAAATAATTAAATTAGATTCAAGATTTATCTAAGAATCTAAATTCATAAACACTTGCACAGTATAATTAACTAACACATTCACAGAGCCGTTGACGTTGAGTTACGGCCTTGGTCACAAGAAGACGTTCGT